TTTCTGTAAAATGCTGTTCTAACAAAAATATCCTATCTATCTAAACTAATCCATCTCATTTAAGCATGGGCTCCATCGTTGAAAAGTGTAGTTTCATATGTCCATTTTTAAGCATTTGAGAATAAATATTTTGGAAATAAAGCCCATAAATCAATAAAGAGTTCAAGAATCTTCATAAAGTTGCACACTAGGATAACATATCTTATCTTTATTAAGTATAAATGTATAATTTTATAAAAGTATTAACCATGATAATTAATTTATGAAAGCAAGCAAAATTTGGAGAAAAATTTTGTTTTGCCAATTTCTCAAACTTAAATACGAGACGCGGCTTTTTTGAGAACAGCAATTTGATCTATAGGTGTCACTGCATTGAACGTCCAAGATTTCAAGACGATACAACCCATATTGGAGGAGCTACTACTTTTAAGTAGGTTTTTTATAATATCCCAAAAAACAGTATTGACTTAATATTTATGGCCTACTCATACCCCCTTAAAACGGATAAATTATATATATACATATAATACAATTGTAAAAAATTGTTAAACTACGCAGTTTAACTGTTTACTTGATAATGAAAAATACCGTTACTCTTTTTTAAAAGCTGTATTTCGTGATTCTGTAATATAATATTATTACATATTTTACGTATCTGTGACCTATTCTATACAACATTAAATGTGCTAAAGCTAATTTCGTTATATTGTGTTAAAAGCTGGGAACTTAATTATAGCGAAGTATACCAATTATGTTATATTTTCAGTACCTATGGATATATAGTACAACATTTTTGTATTTATTGATAATTTTTAATTTTATTCAAAATGAACAAAATATAATAGAAAAAAGCTTTTATTTTTTGGGGCTGCACATTTTAAACATGGGGCTCACATGTCCTTTGTGCAACCCCCCCCCCATCTTTCCTAGTTACTATAATGCTTTAAACATGAAATTGATATGGTCAAAAGCAAATTTGCTAAGTTGTTCATTTGCAAGTCATTTATAACAAATGCAGCATTGGGAAAAGTGTACTAGTGAGGTTGCGAATGTACGTATTTTTAATAATATTATGAGTACCTATCGCACCTAAAATGATTTTTCATAAACGCATTTTTCATCACACCGCAATACCGCATGTATCAAAGTTATGCATGTATACGCCACTGATACCATATGTATATGATGTAAGAATTAAGAGTAGTGAGTAGGTGGTAGGTACTACTCGTACTATAGGTACAGTATATAGGCTCTACCTTAAGAATGAAGCATATACGATCGTACCACATCTGAATCACGAGAAGGATAGACCAACGACTTATCGAAAATGTAAATACGTAATAAAAATTACGAAACATGGGTGAAGGCTATAGTGCTATACTAAAAAATTACTTATTAGTTCTATTTGTAAAGTAGTTACCTATACTATTAGTAGTATACAGTTTATTTTCACAGACGTTTTTTTCAGCGTTAATTACACCATGTTCAAGTGGGAATGTCTGCCTATTAGAGGACACTGATTTTACCATATTGCACATCACGGGGAGATTACCTTCTCATCGTCCACCTATTTGCTGCTCACACAAAAATATTTTCCGTATTAGGTACATTTTATAGGGAGATTTCACAATTTTTATCCACAAACTCACGGCTAACCCAAAATATTTACATATTATATTTATATTTTAAAATTACTGGGTGATTACAGGCTCAAAATCGGTTTCACCACTTACTCGAAAATATTTAACGTATACAAACCAACATTTTTGAAAAAATATTTATTGTATTTACATTATTTTATTCATGCTGGTGTTATGGACGCACACTTGGCGATTCCGCACAAATAAAATAAAACGAGTTTAAATTACTTTGGCCCAAAATAATATTCTTTATTTAATTGTAATAAAGTTTAATTATATGAAATGCTCTGAAATGGTCTGTAATGGTCTGTTGTGACACCAACCGACTCTAACTGCTACGTGTGCGAGCCCCGCATAAGAGCTGGTTGTCCGTTCAAAAATGGTTTGTTCAGCAGATTCCTTAGACCAGTCGTATGGAGAAGGGAGTCCTACTCGCCTGAGTCACACACGTATCAGTTTACAATATTATTAAACAGAAATTTAAATTAATACTACAAGAACTATAGAATAATATAACTAACAGTATTCAGGGGTTAAGAACACTGGTTTCACTGTAGTTCATTTTTTCATAAATTTTGATGTGAGAAGAATTTGATTTTTCCCTTATGAAATTATACTTTATGATAAACGGATCAAAATGTCCCCAAGAAAAAACGGATCAAAAAGTCCCCAGCGGACCAAAATGTCCCCTGAGGACGATTTGATCCGCTGGGGACAATTTGATCCTCTTGGGGACATTTTGTTCTGCGGATCAAAAAGTCCCCGGATCAAAATGTCACCTTACCGTTTTTTATACATTAACTAAATAAATTATTTATTTTAGAACCAGTAAGGATAGAAAATGATGAAAATATATCAATTAATGTTCACTTCAGGAGACCGAATGAAGGTTAACCTCTTAAAATGTTTATATATCAATGTGAAAATGTGTGACAATAGTTATTTAATATCTTTATACAATCTCTTTATTTTAAATTCTGAGTGGAGCTAGAGAAAATGTAAATAAAACAAATTATACGTTAACATTTTCACACACACACACACACACACACACACACACACACACACACACACACACACACACACATCAATCAATAATTTTAATATGCACCTAACTATACTATACTTTATGACCGTATTGATATTATAACTTATCTTACTCTTACTTTACAGTTGAAAATATGAGAGAAATCATTGTCTGCATTGCATGTTTGAACGAGGAATCGAATGTGGTATTACGGCCATGTAACCATACCTACATGTATATGTGGTGCATTCTATGAAGGGTTAACTAGATTGGTTTGTCCACTAAGCCGAGAACCTATAAGAGAAATTGTTGTATTTTTAAGCTAAATTCCAAATGAATTTTGTTTTATTTTATTTAAATAAATAATACTTTTGTGACTGTAAAACATTTTTATTCTTTAAATGATGCACATTTTAAACTTTAATAGTGCAATAACATTAGTTCATGACTTTGATTATAAGAAATACAATATTTTAATATATATATATATATATATTTGGGCCGAGTACACATATTTTGACTTTTCCCCAATTTTTTATAAGCTTTTCGTTGTCATGATTACTATTGTTACCAAAAACATTAATGATTCACACATTTTCCTTGAAGTGTAAATTATTGTGTGGTTTACCACGTAACCGTAATCTTAACCTTTTTTTCAGATAGTGTAATTGTAAATTACTATTACCTATTTGTATGTACTAATGTTATTATATACATACATAGTTTTTGACTATTAATTTCTGTTAAAAAAATTGGGCATACGTAACTAAATAGTGACTGACTTGAAAAATATAATAATTATAATTTATATGAGTTCAAAGTTCTATATATATATATATCTGTATTTGATTTTTACGGGATGTGGCTACTTCTAATGGTTATAATTTATAAATTCTAATTAATGAACATTTTAAGCCACTGACAAAAATAATGTAAATGTTAACAAGATCATATACATTGTTGTAAACAATAATTATAATAGTATCTTTGTAACTAATTTGATAAAAAACATATACATAATAAACAAATACATATCACACATTACCCACATAATATATTATTATTATAAAATCTATTATAATAATATATTGTAATAATCATTAATCATTAAAACTAATTTAACAAAAATTTAATAATATAAATTATTTTTCTATTACAGTAGTAACCAATAGGTTATACGGTATAATTGCAGTTTAGCTACCACGAGATTTTTTCAATTTTTTTTTTCGAAACCTAGGTAAATCAACGTTTTAAAAATGATGGTGCCAAAAAAAATTGCGCAAACTCTTAGTTTTTGAGTTATAACTGTTTTTTGAATTTTTTTTGTGGTAGACTTATGTATTTTGGCTATTTAAAAACGATGGTGCAATCAGAATTTGTCGATCGAATTTAGTTTGAAAGTTATAGCGGTTTTAAGTTAAAAATTTTGGATTTTTAGAGAAAAATTTTTTTTGTTGAACCAAGTCGCCAAGTGAGGTAGTTGCGCCTTACCGGCTCCGGTTATATTTTTCAGATATATAATTTCTCTAAATCCAAATATCGTAAATATAAATGTTTCTGTAATTGGCAAAAAACAACTTTGTTTAATTCCGAGGTTCACCTGAGGTGGTTTTACACAACAAATCGGGGGATATTTTCGATTTGCGGAGCGGAGCGACGGCGCCGAGGAGCGTAGCGACGAGTGCCAATACACTCGTAATCACTGCAACTTTTAACTTTCATAACTTAAAACCGCTATAACTTTCAAACTAAATTCGATCGACAAATTCTGATTGCACCATCGTTTTTAAATAGTCAAAATACATACGTCTACCACAAAAAAAATTCAAAATTTGGGAGTTTTTGAATTTCTAACAGTTATAAATCAAAAACTAAGAGTTTGCGCAATTTTTTTTTTGTACCATCATTTTTAAAACGTTGATTTACCTAGGTTTCGAAAAAAAAATTTGAAAAAATCGCTTGGTAGCTAAACTGCAATTGTTCCTCGGTTCGACGGTCCGATGACTCCGCTGGTGATCTTACGCGACACAGTCCTCCCGTCCCGCCTTGCCATTACCGGCTCGGTGGGAGAGTCAACCCGGTCGCGCTGCTTGCATCCCGTGGTGGTGGTTACTGGTTGGTGATAAGATAGACTGGTCGCTATAGTGCTTGTACATTGTACTTGCTACCACGAACATATAATAGTAAGGACTGGCTAGTGGCTAGTGGCTACTGCTCGACCAGTGTGATTCGCTTATTGTCGCCATTTAAATAATAGTCCGCTGGGGTCGCTACTATGCGTTCGCCCTACTGCCGCCAATGTAGAAGCGTAATAATTAGCGTATACAAACAAGTAATGCTTCAAATTTACCAACTTCAAGTTGATCTGCAATTAATTATACCATGTTGTACAATATATGAGGCGCATAGAGCTAAAACGGCTTAACCCACAAAATAGGTTTTTTCAGAGACTGGCAATACAAGTTTCTTCTATTTTTCATTTGCATTTTTTTAATCACTGAATTGTCATAAAACATAAATTGAAAGTTATTTTTGAAGAATAAATTTGTGTCTTTTTAACTATATATAAGCCATTTACAAGCTTTAAGTTTTCAAAGTTGTAATGTGGGTTAGGCCACTAGGAATTTTCAAAAATGAGTAACTTACAAAAATGTTTGACGGTTAGTCCACCTCTGTGAAATATAATAATTCCCTTTGACTTACATTTTAATGTATATAACACAGTTATATTAGACAAAGTGTTAATTGTTAAAAATTTACTAAACTTGCATGAGAATTTTAAATGTTTCATGCTGAGAACAAATAAAAAATTACTTTTAAAGAGGATTCTATACCTATAAAAATTATACCAAATAATAACAGCAATTTTTTTAAATGAATACAATTTTTGAAATATTCACAAACCTTGTTTATAATATTAATGAAATAACAGACAAATTATTATAACATTTTGTATCAGAGTATAATAATATAAAAAATAAAATTGATTTCTTTTCTTTGATGATAAAATGCATAACAGTTTTATAATAATATGTACTAAAATCTTAATATTGTATAAAACAAATTAAGACCTAACATAATATTTTAATTTTATAATATTTAGGTAATAATACTACTACAACTTATTTATTAAAATAACAAACTAATTGATACAAAAAAAAAAAAAAAACAACAACTTTTTAAATGAATACAATTTTTGAATATACATATTCACAAACCTTGTTCATAATGTTAATGAAATATTAGACATGTTGTATCACAGTATAATAATATAAAATACAATAAAATTCATAACAGTATTATAATAATATTATGTATTAAATCCTTAATATTGTATAAAAAAAAATTAAGACCTCACATAATATTATAAATTATAATTTCAAAATATTTAGATAATACTATCAAAACTTGGTTATTAAAATAAAAACAATTTAACAGTTGTATAATAACAAAATAAAAAACTAATTGATACCAAAAAACAAACAACAAACTTTTTAAATGAATATAATTTTTGATATTATATCCACAATATACTGTATAATAATATAATATTATTTTTATTCATGTTCTTCTTCATTATAATAAGGGTCTGGAAAATTTTCATTGTTCTGTCTGTTAACTTTGAGATTATGATAAAAACTGTGTTTTATTGGAGGTATGAATGGAATTAATTCCAATAAATCTTTTTTTTTAATTCTGTTATTGTATGTCCATTTGGATATAACAAATCTAATTGTTTAGTGTAGTCTTCAATATTTGAATTTCTTTTTCCAATGTAAACTGAGTTAAAAGGGTATTCTGTATTATTTGAATACTTATAATGGAACATAAATGGCTGTTCTTTTTTATAGTTAAGCCATTGGATTTTCATCCACTGTACCTTATCATTAGTTACATCAATTTTTCTATTAGTTATTTGTTTTTCCAATGACTTTGTTGAGAAAATATCATCTTTGGTCATATTTCCAATTTGAAATGGATTGGTTTTTCTAGCAGATGCTATAACAGTTTTCCAATCATCAGGTAAGTGGATGTCTGGATGGAATTTTTTTTGCTCTTCAACTAAGCCAAAATCTTGTTCACAAGGCAAAAATGAGTGACCGCTTACCAAAAACTTATGATCAATTTCGTTAACAGATAGTGATGTATTAGCTACTATATAGTTACAAATGGTAGCCATTTTTATATTTCTATTCTGACCTCCACATTGGTCAGAATACATAATAAGTTTGGTAGAAGATACATAAGTTTTTACATAGTGTAAAATACATGATCCAATCTCTTGGGGGCCTCTCGAAGCAACCGATTCATCCCAAACATACATCATTACCTCATTACTTCCAAGATTATGAACACCTAAACAGTAGGTCCACAATTGGCGTTTATAATAACAAATTCCTGTTGATATAACAAGCGTTGGTAATGTTTTCATTAAGTCAAAGGCAATACATGTAACATTGTTATTGTCTTTTGCTTTATTTCCATCAAATGTCATTCCTGCTCTAGCACTATCTGCTTTCCTCTGATGAACTTCTCTCTCATTTTCAATTTCAATTTTTTCTCTTCAAGAACTTTCAAGTTTTCAGTTTTATTATATGCAGTGTGCTTACCTCTTTTATCTTGTGGTGGAGATTTAGAAATAGTTTTGGATTTCACAAGCCTTGTAATTCGTCCATCCGATATCAATAACACCTGTTTAAAAAAACTTTTGCACACTCTCTCTTCTTTTCCGTCATTCACAGGTAAATAATATTCCCTTGAAAAATTTCTCCTAGAAGTATCTACATTTTTTGTGTATGTTCTTTTTTTATCAACTACTTTAGTTAAGCCAAATAAAAATGCTGTTTGTAAATCGTAACTATCAAGCTGATAGAATTTAGTAAAAATTTCTTTTTGGTTTAATTCTGGGATTAAGTCGTGACATTTTTTAATACATTTACATACTATTGGAACAAATGTCTTACTAGGTATAATCTTTCCTGTTACAGCAGAAGAATAAGATTCACCACGTAGCTTTTTTGTTTTCCTTACATTCTTCTTCCAAAGTTTTTCATTTAATGTTCTCTTTCTTGTAACGGGTGGACAGTCTTGTTCTACATTTCCATCAACTAATGGTATTTCATCGTCTTCTTCAGAAGCACTAACATGTGTTGTATCTGAATTGATTGATGGCACATATTCAGATCCTGAGTCATCATATTCAGAATCTGTTAATAATAAGTCGTTATTAGTGTTTAGAGTACAAAAAAAAAATATTATTTTATTATGCTCAAATGTTTTGTACTTACCATTTTCTAGAACATCGTTAATATAATCATCATCCATTGTTATGAAATATTAATTTAAAAATATATTGCAGAGTAGTTGAAAATTAAATAAAATTTTACACGAATACGAATCACGAATGAGCTTTGAGTGAATTCAATATTACAATTGAAACAATCGCATTTCAATAATATTACCTATTTTTGATAGCTTTCTTATTATCAATACTTGATTACAACGACAATTTCGAGCCAAATACGACCGTTCATGGATTCCTAGTAATAGTAAAATCACCTATACCGAGGTATTAACACTACCGTGGTTTTATACGTTATACCATATTGCCAAACAAAATTTGAAAGCAAAACTGGCCTAACCCAATCGTTATGGGTTAGGCCATTTTAGCCGGGAAAGTAACATTACAATTGCAATGCCAAAACGACGTTTGTGCTGCCATCTAGCGAATAATTTTTTTTGTGGGATAGGCCCTTGTGGATTTCAAATATTGTATCAATCTGAAACGTTTTATTACATAAAATAGAATTCAATTTTTTGTGGGTTAAGCCGTTTTAGCTCTATGCGCCTCATATTATAGTAGGTATAAAATATAATATATTTTCATTTTTCATCGATTAAAAATAAAATAGGAGTTATTATTATAATTAATAATGATTGAAATTCGGGAATAGGATTATGCAAACATTTTGATGATTATTGTCATACTTTTATTTTTTTTTATTTTTTTTTTTTAATAATAATAATTTATTATCGAAACAACGAAATGACATACAGTGTAACAATTTAACATATTTATTTTATAAATCATAATATTGAATACATCAGTAGTCTGATGCAGTTATTTTGTTAAGGTTAAGGTTAAGTAATAATGATTTATAATATTTATTACAAATTTTCATTATAGGTAGGTTCATCAGAAAATATAGTTTAACATATTGCAATTATAATATATTGTACCTAATGCATACTTGTTAAAACTAAATGAAATCAAAAATTAAAAAAACAATTGTTTCTTAAATATAAAAAAAAGCCGTCTATATTTTTAGTATATAGCAAAATCAAAATATGTTGTAGGTACCTAATAATTAGTTGAATATTATGTAATTTATTAATATCTAAAATAATTTATTCAGACCAGGGTAAAGTTAACTATTTTACTAATGTAGCCATAATATGATAAAATAAAGGTAGGTATTAATACTAAAAAACCAATAATAAATAAATTATAGATATCTAATATTACACACAAAAAATTTAAAATAAATATATGAATCACTAGTAAATAATCTAGTTTTAAAATGTATGTATATTAGAAGATCTATCTTATAATGAAATATAATTAAACTATAATACTAAAATAAAAAGTTACTAAATGTTATTATACTATACATTTTAATATAGTCACTACTAGTTAGTGGTACAATACCTCTACGACAATTTTTCCATTCAAGTCTGTCATCACTTTTGTCCTTATTATATCCTCATCGTGAAAATGTAATTCACAAACCACTTGCCTTGGTTTAATTACAAAATCTTTCCTTGGTAGGTATAGCTTTTTTCCACTGTCCGAGTTTAGCTGGATCTTTTGGAATTGTAAAAAAATGGTGTTTAATGTTTATTAGTGTTGGACGAGTATCTATTGTTTTTTTTATTTCGAGTCGAGTCGAGTTTCAATTATTTCGAGTTGAGTCGAGTTCAAAATTCGAGTACTCGACAAATCGTCGAGTATTTTAAAGTGTACTAAAAATAGATTTTCCAAAAATATTATATTTTCTTTCATACAGTTACCTATATAATTAATATTTAATAGTAATACTGATATAATATTATTATTTTTTTAATATAATACTAATGACTATACTTATACTTACCTATATAAGATATATTAATATATTATTATTTGGTACCCAATGAAAAAAGGTGGGCAAGTGGATGTCACTCTGCTGTACTGTAGGTTACAAGTGGGTCACTGTATAATGGATGGTATTAAATTTGAATTCAATGATATACCTAATATCATTGTATAAGAAAAACGATTCTGATTGGAGACGGTATATCAGTCTAGGTATAAGACATTATATACTTATCTATGGAATTAAAAAAAATATACCCATAATAGGTACCTATATTTCCTATAATAAATTCCAAATTAATCATATCACAATATCCATTAGGTACCTATCAAGGTGGATATATATATATCCACCTTGGTACCTATAACGCGTTATACACCAACAACAAACCCTGATACCATCATAGACAGTGCCGGCGCTAGGGGAGGACAAATGGGACATTTGTCCAGGGCCCCGCGCTTGTTAAAGGGCCCCGTGATTTTTAATTATCATCTTAATACGAATACCGTGGTCAACCGTCGTATTTTGCATTATTCTGCCTGCAGCGGTCGCGTACTTAGATATTGAACAATTTATTATTTTATTCAAACATTTTCATGAATTAATTTATTTTTAATTGATGATTTTATGTAGTTGTTAAAATAAATGTAAATTAATAAAATAACCAACCCTTATGAATTTATTAGCCTATGATTTTCCACTCAAAGGTTTAACTGAAACTCACGCTACGCCACTAATTCTGTGCTGAGCGAGGTTTCATCAGGAGGAATCGCACTCGAATGTGTTGTCTCCGTTTACACAAGTAGGTAAGGTAAAGTGGGGTAAGTGTGAAGCAAAAAGCAAAATGAAAAGTTAATTTTGAATTTGACAATACTTTTTTCGTTTTTAACTTAAAGTTGTTATTGTTCCATAATGTAACACCTCTAGATATACATAATTGGAATTTATAGTCAACAAAGTTATATTATCACTCACCTAAGAATAATTTTTTTTTTAATTTTAAACCCTTTTCATGGGGCAAGTGCAAAATCGGATTGTTTTTGCTATTAGTATTACATAAAATTATATATGGGGCAAGTGAATAACAAAGATAAAAATAAGCTTTAATTTGATTTTTGTTTCATTAAAATATCTTGATTCATTAAGAATTGACAGAGCATTATTTAAATTTAATTATTTACCTATTTTATATATAAAAACAGTATACTTTTTTTAAAATCCTGATTTAAAAAAAAGCTAAAATTTCACTACTCTCTGAGAACCTAAAGGCTATTACCTATGACCAGGGCCCCGCAATACCTAGCGCCGGCACTGATCATAGATATATAATAGTGTACTTTAGAAGTTTCAAGTATTTTTGAATAATTTCCCCGTGTCCCTAAATGTTATAAGAATTCCCCAGTAATAGGGAATATTCCCTGTGGTTGGCATGCCTCGGGCTACACGTAAAGCGAAACGTATACAATATACGCGCTGTTAAGTGTTTAATGTTTTGGGTATCCGCAAGCGCGCTGCGTTTAGTCACGCCCACTACTCATAGTCTGTGGCACTTGTCATTCAGCGCCTCTCGCCATCTCGGAGCGCCGCTTATTTTTTATTGAAAGGTTGACGATAACGGATCGCGTCAAATATATAAAATATATAAAATTCACACACGTAAACTCCGCGGTATTATTTTTAATATCCGAGTGTATCCATTCGAACTTTTTTTTTTAAAAGATGCTGCTTACATAAACATATATATTTATAGTAAAAACGGTAATACGGTAAATTTTCTAATTTTTTTTTTCTAGAAATATCAATGAAATTTTATTTGTTGGGTGAAAAAGCTTGAAAATGTAATGCAAATCTCATGGTAAATGGTTTTAATTGCAGTTGAAAAATATTAAAAATACATAGGAACAATACTTTTTTATCAACATTTAAACTTCAAATGTTAAAAAATGTATCACATTTAAAATTGAATAAGAATTTTGTAGTTAAAAATTTATAAAATATTAAACTTTTATAGCTAAAGATTCCATGTAAGTAGGTAGTTCTGTTACCAAAAAATCTAAAAAATAAACAAACGAAAACTAAACTGTACCTAATTCAGAGTAGATAATTTCCAGAGCAAAAGCATATTTTTGTGTTTATTGTCGTTTCAAGATAAATTAATCTACTTATTCTATTTCATACAATATACTACCTATATGTCTATATACGTATGTAAGGTTACCTTACGGTCGGACACTAAAAGGGTACCGACCACCACGGATCCGAGACTGGTTAGGTCGGAGAAACGTGGATTTTAAAC